ATATATTGATTCAACAGTCACCTACTGGCTGAGTACGTGAACTTTCTTCTACTTTTAGATAGCATCTTCTAACTCCCAGATTATACAGGCTTTATAAGGAAGAACAGTAATGAAGTGATAATTTCTTAGGGTATATTTTGTGCATAGTTTAAATGAAGTAATGATGATGATGCACAAATTTCAATGAAGTTGTCGAAAATTTAAGTAGAAATAGAAGAAAGCAATAAAAATTGCAGCAGTATCTTGGTTTTGAATAACCCAAAATTAATATTGATGATTTACCTTCAAAGCCTTAAAGTTTAAGAAAATTATCAATATCTTAGCAGCAACTATTCTACTTCAAAACTCTCGCAAATTCACATTGGTATTTAAAGGTTTGTTATGGAAGTTTGGCTAACCTTTCTCGATGTCGATCAATACCAACGCCGATTTAGGTCGCTCTATTCCCACCCCCTCCCCTTAAAATTAACAATATAGGAGGCAACATTAATAAATATAGTCTTTATTCTGTTGAATGACCTTTGAACTTTTTCGCTCCCCCACTCTTTACTCCACTTGCAGAAAATTCCTTCCTAAACTTTATGGAACCTCGGTCGCTTTTTATTCATTCGTGTACATTTAAATATTATATTTTGATCTCATAATACCGCGTTAGTTCATAATCATTGAAGACATTTTTTATTTGCTTTCATTGAATTTCTTTTTAAATGCTTACCATCATAAATGTTTAAATCGTTTTATTGCAACAAGGACAAGCAGTACTTTAGTGTCTTTCTAAAAAACTGCACAAAGCGAACCACTCAAAATCATTTTACAAGAGTTCAGTGTGAACCATCCCGAAATTATGATTCTCCCTTAATCTCCGACTAATATAATAAGCACAGTTATATGTAGTCGGAAAAGTACTCTCGTTAACCAACCCTTGAAAGGAATTCGAGATCTATTTTGAGAATTTTAACAATAAAATACGATTAAATATACCACATAGAAATAAATATTCACCATCCAATTCTCAATGAACCAAATTAATGAAATGTGATAATATAGTTAAATAATTTATTTCTGAAATATGTAAATGATTAACTAGATGCTGAATATAGCACGCCTTGCACTCCAAACTAGTTGTCACTGGTTGTGCTCATCATTTAAATATAATAGCAATCACTAACTTTAAATGATAAATCTTGGATAATGTTATATTTGTTGTTCCCTAAATTATCAAAAGCAAAATATGATGAATTTCAGCTTAAAAAAATAATATATTATAAATTGTATGGATAACAATATAAAATTGCATCATAATAGTGAAACTATAACTTTGTTTTTATAGACTATGTAAATGCATTTCTTATGAATAGAAGGGTACGATTGGAGTTCGCGCATTTAGCCTGCAGACTTAACCAAGATGATACCTTCTGGTGGTGACGAACAGGTTTGTAAATGTAATTGAATCAATAAACTTCTTAACTGACAGCGGATGGCTGAACAGCACCAAGCTCAGAAAGAGGAGATGGAAAGGAAGCAAAAGGAAATGAAAAACGATTTCCTTCGTCAGATCCTTGATCAGCAAGCTAGAGCTAGACGTGGGTGCTTTTAATAGCTTATACCTTTAGTAAATACCCTTGCTATGACCAAGCCGGAACATGCTAAGAGAGTTGAAGCAATGTTGATAAATATGGCACAAAGAAATCGTTTAGTTGGTCAGGTAATTTTTCGCGAAATATTATATTTCGCAATGAAAATAATTGAGTTTTGTTCAGCTTTGTTTTCCTGTTTTTGGTTGTTTGCTTTGTAACTTTCACAATATTCTATTTTCGTGAAGATCACCGATGACCAACTGAAGAGTATGCTAAGCGATATTGCTTCACAAACGAAAAAGACAACAGAAGTGAAGGTATGTTCATATTAATCTCTAGCATATTTTATCTCTTTTGTTTTTTATAGTTTGATCGGCGAAGAAACGCAATCGACTCCGATGACGATGACTTTTAATTGTGCCTTTAACTCCTCGTGTTATTTATTGATGCAGATAATACAGCGTTTTTGAAATGGAGTCCTTTATTTTCATGTTATTTTAATACCGAGATCAATACTCGCTGTGTGAAGGTGTCTAAAAGTGGGGTCAAGTTTGTTAATTCCCTTTTCTTAAGCCCAGTGATATATTTCATATCTTGCATTATCTTGGACATTACAGCTGTCGTTCATGATTTTTAATCGTGATTTCATATTTTCTGCTTATCGATCATTTTGAATGAATATTGATCATACGCTTTAATAGACTTTCGGCTACCAGGATGTTTTTGCTTCAATGCGTTTCGTATTGGGTCAGTGCGATTCTAAGCTGAGTAACAAGATCATCAGATCTGGATGATTTTCATCGTAATTTCTTCAATGACTATGGTCTAATTAATGTGTTGAGCGATTTTTATTATCGGCGGTGTCTTATGGTAACAGTAAGTCTTAGGCCCTTTGAAGCGAGGCATTTAAGGTCAACATAATCTCCCCCCCCCCGTTAAATGAATGCGTATTGGTGGGTATCTAGCATTGGGGACCCATTCTAAATGCAGCTTAGTGCGATTCTTTTTAAGGCACTCAAAATCGCACCTAGTTTTGAGTTAGTTTTTGTACTCCATGCAGTTTTGAGGCTGGAATGCATGTTCCATCCGACTTTGTTTACGTGTCAGAACACCCTTTCTGTACTTGCAAAAATACCATTTTCGGGAATTTATGCGCATATTCCAACGGTGTTACTTGGCCGAGGTTGACTTGATAAAAAAGCTAATTTTGTTGTAGGCTAGTTCTTTGTTTGAGTTGTGAACTCTTAATTTCGTCCATATATTAACTCCTATAACAATTTCCCCCTCAAATATTTGTGTCAAATGAAAGTATCATTCCTCAGTTATAACTGAAGGACACTAGTCTAGTTCTTTATTAAATTTGTCAGGATTTACTATTTCACTTTAGTTTTTAAGTTCGTAAATTAAGGACATTTAAAGATTTTAAATAAAGTATTACGCTTAACTACTTGTTCACAGTAAGAGCGTTACTAATTCACGTTCATTGGAGATTAAGTAGAATTTCGTTTCGCTATGGTTTCATCTTTTGAGCGAATATAGTTCGGTCACTTTTTTAAAAAAATATTAATATCAGATCAGCCAAATTTATTTTGTAAAGAGAGAGAAGTGTGAGATAGACTTACCTCCACGTGGTGCACCATACTGCAAATAAGTTGACTTCTGACTTCAAACTACCATCACCCCACTGTATGTCATATTCGACTACTTCCTCAGTACTCATCTCACCTTTTTTTCTACCTGTTCTACCTTCGTCTTTGAAACACTCTTATGTCCCCCACCCCTCTCGACATTTTTCACTTTGATGTTCCTTCCCCTCTGTGAAGCTAATGATAGCCATCAAAACGCCTGCCATTTGAAATAAATAAATAAATTTTGTAAAGAGAGAGAGAGAGAGAGAGAGACGAGAATGGAATAAAACAATAAGAGTCATAGCTCAGTACTTTTGCCGTTTACTATACAGGAGGTAAGACGGACAGCGCTCTGAAATGACGAAAGACAATGGGGGACATGGGAGAGGAGGGGAGGGGGGGGGTGAAAAGGGAATGGTGTTCACTTGACAAAAATGTCGTCAAAGTTGGAGATGAGGAGTTGGGCAAATGCGGTGATCTGTGCAACCTCGGCAAAGGAGGTAATTGTTGCGTAACGAGACCACAGCAAGTTTGGACCAAATACGATTCCCAAGTTGACATCCGTCATCCTATTTTGCGATGAGTGCGCGGAAACCTAAAATCGATA